CCAACCGTGCCTACATCAGGCCTTACAGGTTTGTTCTGATCAGCAGGTCTCTGTCTAGGCAACTAGCAGCGGTCAGCCAGTCTTTTGTTATGAATCCTGCTGATTATGATTTTACTTTTCATTTTAACCTATGCCGCTTGACATAAAAATCTACCTGCTATTTACTAAATCTCTAGATTGAGCAAGTATGCGCCGAAATGAAACATAAAAAAAAAAAAAAAAAAAAAAAAAAAAAAAAATGTCAACATAAAGCTAACTATTTCTAAAACGTAAATAAAATGGCACTTATCTTCTTTCAAATACGTCCAACTATTTATTAAAGTGTAAAATATCTAATGCTACTTGATAAATTTCGTAAAGGTTATTTTATTCTCAAATTTTTAATAATTATGTTAATTAAGTTACGTTTAATAATAATGCATCCTACTTACAGGATGGTATTACAAAACTGAAGTTCAGGTACAGATAATATTTTTAATAGAATTTATTCAGTTCCCACTTGCTCATAGGTCTTTAATTATTTTCAGTAATGATCCTTAAAAATGCTTAATTTCTGTGTGCAGAAATATGTACGAACCCTCTTTGAGCAGCATTTCTCAAATACCTGCGATAAAAATTTATCATACACAAAAAGGTACGGAAGTCTTGTAGGGTCACAAGCAGTGTATATTTTAAGATGACTTGGACCTTGCTAGGCAGGGAACATGATCCTTCAGCAGTAATCAGATAACAAGAAACTGAAGTTTGGTCTACTCCCAGAATAGATTTCGATACATTAATGCAAAGGCTAAATTTGCTCAGTCTCTCTAACACTATCTGCAGATGTTTTTTGTGTTCATCCTCAGATGATGATGCTATTGACCTATCGTCTGAATATGGAATACAAAATCCAAACTGAAGAAAACGTCGTTAATGAAACACTGAAAGGTAGCTGGTACATTTCTGAGTCCGAAACTCGTAACATTGAACTCAAATAACCCGAAAGGGGTAATTATGGCGGTCTTTGTTTTGTCTTCTTCAGCGAGTGGTATCTGATAGTATGCTTTTACTAGATCAATCTTTGAAAATATATTTTTACCCTGAAAGTTAAGATGAAAATCTTCGATTCTGGGAGTCGGGTAACGGTCAGGTATGGTTTGGTCATTTTAACTGACTATAGTCGCTACAGGCTATCTTTCATCCTTTTTACTGACTAAATGTAGGGGACTAGCCCATTGAGACTTTGATGGTCGAACTCCCTTCTCCAACATGAAATGAAATTCATGCTTGGCTAAGGCAAGTTTTTCAGGATCGAGTGTACGGTCTGGTGAATGCACAGGCACACCTATGGTTGTTATCTGATATTTCACATCATGTTTACTTGAAGTACTGAAAACACATGGCTTAGTTAAGTCTGGGTCATAGCACCATTACCTTCATCTAGAATTGTTGAAAAAGAAAATCCTTTTGATGTTATAGGACTGGATTATGCTAGTCCACTTTTCGTTAAAAATGAAGATACGAGATATTATATCCTATTATTTACTTGCACTGTAACTTGAGGCATTCATCTTGAACTAAAAAAGATCTCATAACTAAAGCTTTCCTACTTGCTTCTCGTCGATTTATATCAAGAAGAGTGTTGTGCTCTTTAACATACTCAGAACGCGCGCACATTCAAGGCAGCTGATGCGGAGCTCAGAAAGATGTGATCCCGATGTAAAGAATTATTACGCCGCAAAGGGCAATCAGTGGAGATATATCATCGAAAGAGGAGCCTGGTGGGGCAGATTTCACGAGAGAACTAGTGCAATCTGTCAAAACAATATTAAGAAAAATTCTTGGTAGAACATTACTGCTACCCGAAGAATTGGAAACTGTACCGACTGAAATTGAAGCGGTGATACATCATCCAAGATAATGAACCCAAGTTCTGTCACCTGCTCATTTTCTGCTCGGGCAAAAACTTGCTGATTTGCCTCAAAAATCTATCATTTTGAAAAAGAAATGATAGGTTTCTGGTAATAATTCTAGTATTTTAGTTGGATTATTGAAGTGTTATTTGTTTAATATTGAGTTATAAAGATTCTTGATTTAAATTCCTGATGTTTGAACAGAAGTGTTATGACAATAATCGGTACTTTTTCGTTTCGCCGGCGCAAATCTCGCTAAAGAGACTTTATTTGCGATAACACGCAGTATACACATAAAAAAATGTTAACAAATGTAAGAATTTTTTTTATTTTGGAGGCATAAATATTTTAATATCGTTTAAAATATTTTCAAATGGATCTTTTGCGTCCTTTCGCCACATAAATTCGGCGGGGTAACTTTCTAGATGGTGACGTGCCGTTCCTCTGTGTTATTATTCCGCCATTTGGCGCTACCCCATAGTCTTTCTATTTTTTGTTTGTGGGTTCCAGTTTCCGAATCTACAAAATTGTATTTATGGCTCACTTTGAAATGTTCGAAACTTTCCTCTTCCAGTTTTTCAGTGCAATATGATTTCCATGAATCGGAATATATCGTAGCTCCTTTTTCGATATTTTCCTTTATTGCCTCTAATATAATAGTCATGGATCGGTTTGGCACCTTCACAAGGAACATTCGTTTATTTCACGACAAACTCAACCCAAGATCGACTGTTGTGGTAAAATCCGTCCCGCGTTGTTTTTGCGTTTCGTGAACATACTTTCATCCATTCCAACGATCATACTAAGTCCTCCTGTTTTGCGTTGTTGACGTTTAAGTAAAGAATCCACACAAACCACCTCTCGCATGTAGTTATTCCAATCCCCAACTGTTCTGTGACTGATTTCCAATTGCTTTTTACACCATTTAACTGAAGTTAATTCTTCACTTCAACCATAAATAAATCTTACACACTTCAAGAAACTCAATCTCGATGATTCAAACCATGTGCCTTTCCGTATACTTCTTTTACTGCGGCAGATTGAAAGGTTGCAGCGCCATTGAATTTCGTCTCCGAAATATAATTTCATTTCATGATTATTGTCACAAATAGCAATGTTAGGCAAAACGCCTTTCGCTTGAAAGAATCTGACAGATTCTTCCTCTGTCCTGGGCAAATCCCAAAGTTTCGTTGGTTTTTCATCCATTTTTGACATATTTGTAAAAAGACGTTAATTAAGAATTTACTAAGCTTTCATGGTACAACATCTTGATTCACCGGTTCATATCACGGGATTCCAAATGATCTCATCTCACGTAAACTACGCTACAAAAATCTGATTCTCTCAGGAAATATCTACATTAATTTCAAGTTAAATCTTAGTATGGAATACGAGTTTAAATGCAAGAATTATTTCAATATTATTAATTTAAAATGTATGCCAATATTGAAAGCAACGATCAATCTGATAAGAAATAGCAGCGACTTGTTTTGAAAATGTGGCGTGAAAGGTTATCAGCGAGGATATTCGGTTTATCATCGGTTGTACCATTTTCAGCGACTTTATCGCTTGCGCCGGCGAAATGGAAAATTGCGCCGGACAAACGGAAAAGTATCTAATAATCATTGATAAATGAAAAGTTTGCTTGATAATCTTGAAACATATGGTAAATTTTTACATGTTCTTGAAGTTTATGTGACATTTTCCTGATTACAAATATTTGAATATGTATTGAAATGCATACTGATCCTTGAAAATAATTCTTGAAGATATTCATGTATCGCTGGTAATCTTGATTGTTCTGAACTACTCTTCAGCCGGGCGCAGTAAGAAATTTTGTCCGAAAATATATTTTAATCGCCAGTAAAGGCTTTAATACCTCATGATGTGTATTTCTTGTTCTTGGATCGCATTGAATTGAATAAACCAGGGCTTCTTAAACTATGGGTCGCGACCCCATTTGGGCTCGCGTAGCAAAATTCTGGGGTCGCGAGAGATTTTAATGTCAAATATTTATATATAATATATATATACCATTTTATAACATCACTAGAGTTGGCGGAATACAGTGGACTTGCAGCGTCTAGACACGCGCATTTGTTGAAGGTTTTGAGCTATCTCCACCGACAGCAGTAAACGATCGATGATCGCTATTATTATACTGTGGCTATACATTGTTAGTGCGTTTGTCGGTATCATACATGTTGAATAAACCGCGCGCCGCTGACTTCCCACAAGGGAGGAATGCGCGCGCGTACACACGTGCAACCTGCAGCTAAACAATGATTCAATACACGCGCTGGCAAATACGCATTAACCAAACCGGTCTGTGGGGCTCTTATAAAAAAGCGCGCATAAAACCCGTTGAAAAATTTGTGAATTTTATGCTTTTTAAGCGAATTTTCATAATATTCCGTAACTCGCATTGACTAAAACGCTTGTGTAAACTAGCCTACACCGACTGTAATGTGAATTAGTGGAGTGTTGACGCTCTTCTAGTGTGGTCAATTGTCAGTGTCCCCGTAACAAGATTTTAGTTTTTTTTTATTTATTCGGTAATTAATAAATCAATTATTATCTGCAATATGTTATTTTTATATTTTATTTATTTTAGGATCAAAATAATTTTTGGCCATGGATAAATGGCTGAACTTAAAGAAGAATGGTAATGACGCAGATGATAATGCTACAAACTCTTCTCAGGCAGGACAAAGTATGGGAAACAGGCATCTAATGTGCGAAAAAGAAAATATGATGAGTCTTTTCTTCAATTTGGCTTTACATTTCAAAATTGTGAGGGTAATGAACAACCTCTTTGTTTGATCTGCAATGAATTATTGGCTTCGGAGAGTATGAAACCATCAAAATTAAAAAGACATCTTGAATCAAAGCATGTTTCGTATGTCAATAAACCAAAAGAATATTTTGAAAGACTGCTGAAATCTTTAAATAAAGAAAAGAAAATCTTTGAAAAACTTATAACTGTTAATGAAAAATATTTACTAGCGTCATATGAAGTTTCATACTGTATTGCTAAAAATAAAAAGCCGTTCACCATTGGAGAAGATCTTGTGTTACCTGCTGCTATTAAAATGGTAGAAATACTACATGGAAGAAAATATGGCGATGATATTCGAAAAAATTCCTTTGTCGAACGACACTGTCTCGAATAGAATTTCTGATATTAACAAGGATCAATTAATACAACTTATTACAAGAATTAAAGAAAGCCCAAAATTTTCAATTCAGTTGGACGAAACAACTGATATTACTAAATTGGCTCAGTTGTTAGTATATGTCAGGTACGTTTATAAAGAAAGCGTGGAGGAAGAATTGTTATTTTGTCGTCCTATGGAAGACCATACTACAGGGAAAGACATATATTGTAAAGTTGACGAATTTTTAAAAGCAGAAGGTTTAGAATGGAAAAATTGCTGTGGAATATGCACAGATGGTGCAAGAGCGATGACGGGCAAAAATATTGGTTTTAAATCATTTTTTAAAGCTGCTCATTATGATCATATAACTTTTACTCACTGCCTTATTCACCGAGAGGCTATTGCACAGCAAAAAATTAGCACCAGAATTGAACGATGTGCTGCTTCAGGATGCTGTTAAGATCATAAATTTTATTAAGAGCCACGCCCTTAACAGTCGCTTATTTTCAAATCTCTGTAAGGATACGGATTCCAACTACACAACTTTGTTATTACATGCAGAAGTAAGATGGTTGTCAAGAGGTCAAAGTTTAAGAAGATTATTGTTATTAAAGGACGAGATCGAAATATTTTTAAACCGAACGAAAATGTGAACTTGCTGCTTTTTTTCAAAATGACTTATGGCTATCCAAGCTGTGTTATTTGTCAGATATTTTTGAGAAGTTAAACGATCTCAACTTGTCTCTTCAAGGAAAATATTGCGATATATTTACTTCAAATGATAAATAAAATTGAAAGTTTTATTAAAAAGATCAACATTTGGAAAAGTAGGGTCGAAAAAAATTCGTTCGAAATGCTTTCCAGTGTCGACAATTTTGTAATCGAGAAAATTCATTGTAAAACTTTTATTGCAAAAATTATTGTAGATCACTTAAAAGCGCTAGAAATACAGTTCCGGACATATTTTAAATTAAATATTGATTTCCAAAAAATAGTTTGGATTCAAAAGCCGGTTTGGATTGGCTTAAGTGAGATTGATCACCTGCCACTTAAAGCTCAAGAGGGAATTTGCTGAGCTTTCGAGTGACTCAAACTTAAAACTACGAGTACAATTTCAAAAAAAAGCCCTTGACTGAATTCTCGATCGGAACTAGAACTGAATTTCCCACAATCGCTGATATGGCGTTAAATGTACTTCTGCCATTCAACACCACATATTTATGTGAAGTTACTTTCTCAGCTTTAACACATATTAAATTCCAATATCGTTCAGCGTTAAAAAATGTTGAAGAGGTCTTACGTCCAGCAGTTTCAAACATTCCACCAAGATTTGATTTGTTATGCAATAAAAAACAGGCACATCCATCTCATTAAATTTTTTACTTATACTTTAATTTAATACTTACCACGCAACTACTTGAATATATTCGAGAGAATTAAGACGGTCAGAATCCACTTTTATTTTTGAAACTATAATAAATACAATTTTATAATTTTTTGTGCAATTTTTAATTTTAGATTTTTGTATGTTTCAAAACGAATTCTAAACTTATATATTTTCATATGTATATGTATATTGTTACCTAATAAATAAATCATCAAAAAATATTAATTTATTTTTCTTTTATATATTTGTATGGGGTCGTCAAGAAACTCGCAATCATAAATGGGGTCGTGAATGACAAAAGTTTAAGAAGCCCTGGAATAAACTTATTGAATTGAATACGTAGAATGCGTATTGAATTGAATACGTAGAATGCGTATTGAATTGAATAAACTTGAAGCTTGAAACCTGATTCGCATGTTCTTTGCTTTTTGATTTTGCTGTGATTTGAAATGAATAATGCTTCTTGAACCATGATAACATGAAACCTTTTAGGATCTATCGATTATATAACTCTAAGCAGCAATTACATACCCTTCCTCAGTTTCCAAAGATCAGTGTCATTTAAAATCTGTGGCCCATGCTCAGAAAGGCTGTGGAACAATAAAAAATAACAAGCAAATACTATTTGGAATGTATTTTTAAAAAGAATGGGATAGAATATCTTTAAAATAATAATAAAAAAAAATATTTACTCCAGTCCGTCTATGGCGTTTAGAAGCAATAATAAAGTCATGAAACAAAGTATTGACCCTTGTTATGCCAAAAGCGACGTCACTTCCGAATGAGATACTAGTTTTGAAACGGCATTTTGCATTGCACATTCAAATTGTTGCGACCAAATATTACCGTCGTGTAGTACATATAACGAAATTAAATAATAAAGAATCTGCATATGCATGTTTCTCGCATTGTGAAAAAACATGGTACTTAGTGCCATTAAATTTTGAATAACGTTGTCCTCCACCTGAACATGGACACCTGGAAATACGACCTTTGAATTTTGAATTTGTTTTATTATCTTTTTCTTATTTTTAAAAACTTTAAACAAATTTTTGATAAACAAACACAAATATTTTAAAACGAGCAGTTGCAACACTGCACATAATAAGGCATTTTTAGCTCCAGCGCGCAAAACTGTATATCGCAAATTTTAAACATATGCTGTTTTTAAATATTTTGTAATTTATCTGTTGAGTCGAATTTTATGTGGCTTTAGCTTCAGGACCAAGGTAGTTAATAAATAAAGTAAACACGCAAAACGTTAATAATAAAAACGCACACACACACAAGAAAAAAAAAATTAAAAACGATCTTAGTAAGAAAACTTAATGTTGATATGGTGAACTGAAAAAAGACTGCAAATATATATATATGTCAATGCTTTTGAAACATCGGGAATTTTAAACTTATACTGCTGTGCTGTTTTTAACTTCAATTTTCAGATCAACAGCAAACTTACAAATACCTCCATGAGTCATCAAACAGTTTTTATATTTTTACATCCTTGTACGAAGTAAAATACTGTAAACGCGAAAAATTTCGGGTATCGTATTTCAAAGAAAATATCCATTTTGACCGCTCTCGAATCCATTTGAAAGATGTTTTTGAGTGATATCTACGTAAGCACAAAATAAAGGAGTCTTTTTTCCAAAACGGATTGTAAAATGGATTTATAAGAGATTTGTTCATGACGTCTGTACCTGTTATCAGTGGCATAACAATTAAATGCCGGCAGCAATAAGGCAAAGTCGAATAATCTCAATCTTATCAGAACTGACGAAACCTAGTAACGTGGCCTCGAGAGGCAGAAACAGGCTCTGTCTTACAGTCCGAAACCCTTGAATTAAATACTGCCTAACTCATTTACATTTATGGTGAGGAAACGGAAAAAGAGAAGTGCTAATAAAGGCTGAAATTATAAATAACTGGTTAATGCAAAATAATAGTAATCTTATATATTTACTACTTGGATGTTCATAGGTAGGTTAAGCTGTAGTAAATGCTAGTCTTGGGAGAGAAAGTGATATACAATTGCTGCTATGCGTAATTTCCAAACCGAGATATTCACCTTTACTTTGGGTATGCACAGTTAATTGGAATTTTATTTTTAGTCTTTTTTGGATATCTAGGAGAATACACAAGGTTGGTTTCGAGAATCACATTTTAATCCGCGGAGCACAGATTGGAAAACACTGCTCCAAAGTAATGGTACCTACACGGCCAGATTACGATCTCCGGCAGACGTATTCAATCATTTTGCTTTCCTGGCCACACTGGAAGAAGACGAGATATGTAATTGGGCTACACAAATTATTTCTAGACCCAGTGGTAGCTCATGACCCTAAAATAAATGAATCACACATTTGAATAAGTTTCAATGAGAATTTTCGGGTTTGCTCAGGTTTGACCTCTAAAAGAAATTTTTGAATTTCCCTCCTAAGAAAGAAATGCGCGGGTTTTACCGCGTTAGTTTAAATTTGTTCAGTATATACATATAAGAAAACTCATGTATAGAAATATTTTAAGTGAATCAGTGATTTACTTGATTCATATGGTAAGAAGGCACTATCTAGCGTTAACGATGGTTAATAAGGGGAAAAATGTTAAAAACATATTTAAGTTATTTAAACCTTTTTATGATTTTTTTAATGCAATGACAGCAACATAGAATTATTTTTACTCTATATTCGTACATTAGTATGCTTCATTCTTGAATACAGTCGTTTACAAATCTACGTACTGTCAAATAATGATGACATGAATAAGGGATGACTGTGCAGCGAGGGATATTTTTCTCTGGATAAGTATAATTTATAAAAGCCCAACAGACGCTATCAAATTCTGGCACAGATTTCGCTCTCGATACCATAAACTGTTTTATTTCATTCAATACGCTACAAAAATCTTTTTAACATTTTGCCTACCATATTTCTGTAAATTATGCCATACCGCCATATTCGGCATCCACACTTTCGAGAAATTCCTGCAATTGGGTCGATGATTCAATCCCCAAACCCGTATAAAATTCACAGTCTTGACAACGATTTGCATAATATAATCTATTTTTAAAACTTTTCCTCATAAAATTTCGTGGGGTACTAAGCAATACTTCATCAAATGAGAGTTCTTGATAGCAGTGACACCGTCTTGTGTTGATTTTACAATTCCTTCTTTTTTAACTATTATAGCTGGGGCATCATTTGCAGCTAGACCAGATAAGTGGCCAAGGGACAAAGATAATTTCGTTAATGTTTTTTCACTGCTTCATATAAGTCTTTTGATGTTGTCATGTCTTTTGATAGTACTAAAGAAGCCATTCGTTTCAATTATAAACTATTATATCCGCGAAGAAGCCATTAGTTATAACTGTTGGCGTGAATATGCACGCATTCGACAGACAACCAGTAATATTAATCCTAATATATATCCAAGCTTTCGTAGTATGATGACAAAGTGCCGATAATGAAGATAATAACATACCCAGCCGTTATTTTGTAGGACCCCCATAACAATAAAAATCAGAATAAAGTTCACAATTCAAACACTGTTATTCAATTTGGCATCCGAATGAACACAACGTTGAAATATCAAACTGATTTTCCACCTATATATTCACCTAACATGTCGCAATTGCATCAACGACGTAACAAAATGTACGAAATAATTCCGATACAGCTCGAAGTGGGATTTGTGCACAACTTTAAACTCAACTTTGAAGTACTTGAAAATGTAACAAACCATTTCAAAAGTCTTAATAAATCACAACTCGAAAATACCTTCGATTTAAATTCATGTTTTATCACTCCCATTAATTTCGAAACGATGTCGTAAAAACTTTCGGTATTTCTAGTATCTAGTGGTGTTGGTCCAAACACTGTAATTAGAAGTAATGAATCATCTGGATCTGCAACTTTACAGCGGATGACCGCGAATATACAGTTTACTCGAAGGCACATCATCATTCAAGCTTAAATGACGTGTTTAACTTGAATTCGTTCATGTGTTACTTCATACTCCTTCATTTATATATCCCTATAACTGAAATTTCAAAAATAGTTCTTGAAGATATTTTT